GATTGATTTGTTTCTGCTAGCATAAAATTTAGCTTCCCTAAGTTTGGTACAAACCAAACCTATGTGGTAGGCGTGTTCTGTTGCGGTGTTCGAGAAGATGAGAATATCATCAATGTAGACCCAAACGAAATGGTGGAGGTATTCGCTTAGGAGGTTTTCCATAATTCGCATAAAGGTGGCGGGCACATTCATATCACCTTGTAACATAACTCGGCTAATGAAACTTACCGAAGGGTGTTATTGAAACTGTTGTATCATTCGCTTTCTGGGTCTAACCTTGTTTGGAAGTAGGCATCGCTTAGGTCAATCTTACTTCGGAATCTAGCCCGTCCAACTGCATTTAGTATCTGGGTTTGGTTTGGGATAGCGGAGCTGTCCATAACCGTATTTTCATTCCGTAGTTTGAGATCAACCAAGGGGCGGATTCTTTTGCCATCTGCTTTGGGTTGAACAAACATAGGAGCGGCACCAGGGGCTTCTGCCCAGTAGATGACTCCTCTTCTTTGTTGTTGGTTGATCCAATCACAAAGTGGGCTTTTGTATGCGTCAGGAATAGAGTAGGTGGGTTGGTTCTTGAGATTGGAAGGGTCTCGGAGGCGGATGTGGTGATTCACTTCTCTCATAGGTGGTAGTTCTTCGGGTATTCGGTCAGGGAAAACATCAGAATACTCATCCAATAGTCGTAGGGCAGTTGTTTCACAGACTGCAGCTCGGTATTCTCCGCTTGTTGGCTTGCATGAGACTCTGACCTTCTGATCTGGGAAATCGATAGTTGATTCCCCACACCTGATTATAGCTTTGTGACGATTCAGGAAGGGCATGCCTATTAGGGCATCGTATTTGGCTAAATTTCCAACCAGCATTTCCTAGGGGGGTAGGACTGCAGAACCAAGTCGAATGGTCCCACTACAGGTTTTATGGCTTGTGGATAGTGATCCTTTTACTGCCATATTGACTGGTATGGGTTGGTTAAGGTCTCGGGTAGGGAGTCCATGGACAGAGACAAAGGCATTACTGATCATATCTCTTCCGATTGCACCAGTGTCGAATAGGACTCGAGCCTTTTTGCCATTGATCAGGATAGTGCCTTCTAGAGCAGTGTGTGTTTTGAATGTAGCTGGAGGTCGAACACTGTTGCATTCCACATCGATGTACCCAATGTGGATCTCTTCATATTCACTGGATGGAGCATAATCGCTTTCAATATTGTTGCCCGACGCCTCCTTTTTTATAGCCTTTCCTTTCTTCGCAGGACAGTTCTTTGCCATGTGTCCTGTTTTTCCACATTCAAAGCATTCTCCCTTTTGCCGTCTCGATTCTTTGGAGGATTTCTTCTTCTTGAAAACTCGAGGGGTATCGTCTTCAGAGTTGCTGGAGGCTTTGTGTCGTGGCTGGCTGTTCCTATTAGAGGATGTCTGTGTTTTGTAGGCCTTGGTCTCATGGAGAATGGCGTCCTTTCGTTCTGCTCTAGCAATTATTACTGCAATATCATCGCCGTCTTCCTCGAGTGGTTCTACCTCTCGCCGGAGGGTAGGGTGCATAGTGTCGTAGAATCGTCGCTTCAGGATGTATTTGGAGATACTTCCTCTCTCCATTCGATCCTTATACATTATTAGGTCCGTGGCCACATCGGTGATTCGCTTGACATGTATTCCGTTAACTTGCTGGAGCTGGTTGAATTTGTTGTATAGGAGGTCGTTGGTTATAGAGGATTGGAATCGTCCTTTCAAGTAATCAAGAACTGTAGATCCTCTTAATCTTACATTCCCGCCGAAGTCCTTATAGCATTGGTGGTATGCGTCGGTTGCCTTTCCTTCACAGAATGATCCAATGATAAGTCCGGTTGTAGGGTCTTCCACATCTTTTCCTTGTAAGAGTAGGAAGTGTGAGAGTTCTGTGGCCCATCGTTCAAAAGCTTCAGGTTTGAGGTCTTTCCCTTCGCCTGTGAATTTCGCTGGGAGGTGAAGTTTAAACTTAGGGGGTTCAAATGCTGCGGGTACCTCCTCTTCTTCAGGTCTTACCCGAGATTTCCCTCCTCCAGAATGCCCTCCTCCTGTGCTAGCCATATCTGAATCGCTACTAGATTCAGGGTCGTTTGGGAGTTCGAAGGAAGGCTTCTTTGCTGGAGTAGAAGGGAAGTCTCCTGGAGGTTGTGTATCTTCCGTGTTTGCCGGATCGCCGGGCTCTTTAGCAGAGCGCCGGGGTTGTTTCTTCCTAGTAAGGTCTTGCCGTGGGATTTGCTTCCCACTTCTGGTCGTTAAAGACTCTATCTTGGGTTTGAGATGAAGCCGAATATACTGAAATTCTGCTGCTTCTCTCCCTAGCGTTCTGAGGTGGATACCGATAGGTTGATCAGGCCTAAATCCGGGGACAGGTTCTTAACCACTTGCTGAGGTTAAAAAAATGTAACGTGTTCACAAGGTGCTAATCACGTTATCGATAATAGATACGATAGTTGGCAGGTGGCCTGCTCTTCCAGAGAGGAGGCGAGAGCTGAGAACTAAAGGAGGCTTCGAGGGCGTACTGAGGAACAAAGAAGTAACCGTTCAACCAAGTATATTGAAATACTGTCTGTCGAAGTCTCCCTTTTCTATCGTAGAAACAGGCGGTCTTTAAATACACAAATCTGTTCATGTCTAGCATAAACGAAACTAATCAAAGGTATCAATTGATACTCTTTGGTAAAACTCTTTAAGTATCAAAGCGATACTTAAAACAAAACATAAAACAAAACCAAGTATCAAACGATACTTAAAACAAACCAAGTATCAAAGCGATACTTAAAACAAAACGTAAAACAAAACCAAGTATCAAACGATACTTAAAACAACCCGAGTATCAAAGCGTTACTTAAAACAAAATCAATAGCCAAGTACCCGTACCGGTTACAGCTTCGATACTTGGTTTGTTTTAAGTATCGTTTGATACTTAGTTTTGTTTTATGTATTGTTTTAAGTATCGCTTTGATACTTAAGGAGTTTTACCAAAGTGTATCGATTGATACCTTTGATTAGTTTCGTTCATGTTAAGACATGAACAGATTTGTGTATTTAAAGACCGCCTGTTTCTACGATAGAAAGGGCAGACTTCGACAGACAGTATTTCAATATACTTGGTTGAACAGTTACTTCTTTGTTCCTCAGTACACCCTCGAAGCTTCCTTTAGTTCTCAGCTCTTGCCTCCTCTCTGGAAGAGCAGGCCACCTGCCAACTATCGTACCTATTACCATTAACGTGATTAGCACCTTGCGAATACGTTACATGTGACCTATCCTGGATTACTTGATTTGCCAACCTCTATCTAATCCCCTGTTTGAGCTATTGCCCAGTCAATCGATGCCGCTTGTGAAGCTCTGATAAGGATATCCATTATCTACCGAGCTAATGGCAGCTATGTGAAGCAGGTAATTATGAGTCAAGGTAAGCCTTGCATACAAATCCTGAATGCATGGGAACTCCCATTCGTATAAGTGCATATTTCCAAACCATGAGAAAGGGATGATTGTGGTCACTTAGGACTACAAAAGATCTATGGAATCTTGGAATTTAATGTCATGTTATGGCAGAATAGAACCTTACAAGCTAATAGAATTTTACTTTAAGCTCCTCCATGAAATTATGTGTAAAAGATAGGCAGACAATTCAAGCCTATAAAAAGAAATTTTCTATGCTTATAGTTAGAGGTATAAAGCAATCACCATGGTTGAAAAAACAAAAAAAAACAAATATAAACTAGAAGGTTTTGTAGAGTAGAGTTACAAACAAAGCTTAAGCCACAATGTCATGTTGAACCACAAAAAAGTTGTGTTGAGCCACAAAAAATTCATCTCGAGCCACGAAAAGTTGTGTTGAACCACAAGTCACGTTGAGCTGTAAAATCATATCGAGCTGGCGGGCACTCCAGAGGAGTGCCCCAGGTTGCGAGCAGCCAGGGGTTGTGGCACGAGTACAAGTATCAATAAGCGACCTTTACTAACAACTGAGACCGTGTTTGGCAGCTTATTGCTTAAAAGGTACCGTACTCGAGTAGAATGGTGGAGCTTACGAACCTTATAAAATACAGTTTGGAAAATACAATGCCGGTATGCCTATTAAGCTATTTGTACCTCGAGTACGTTTGACCCGTCGGAGTGATGGCTTACCCTATAGGCACCCCACAAGTATCATATTATAAAAAAAAACCACCCAGAACTTCATGCACCCTCCACAAGTGTGGCGGTTGCCCACCTCAAACCAAGTCCCAGATATCATAGAAGTTCCACGCATGATACCCTGACCCACCGCCACCGACCTCAACTCAGTATCAGCCACCATACGGTAGTCATTCATATATGTACTGAGCAGTCTAATCTGATGTGCGCAATCAGATCCATTCGAGTGACCGATCTGATCAGATATCCCGTGCTCACCTGTACCCCTGTAGCATTTTCCATCACAATAGGATTTTGCTTGTTCTCCCTCAGACTTTCAACATTCACAACGCGCTCGAGCGTAGATCGAGGGGATGCTAGTCTACGAGTACCCGCTGGTTCAGTTGCATGTGGACACCTTGGCGCCAAGGCTATGCAATCCCAATAGCATCTTGGCGCCAAGATGTCCGCACAGCAACTGAACCAGTGAGTACCGGTTTGGATACATAGACCATCTCACTCGTACTGGTACTAACGGCCTTCATCTCCTACTCCACAGTACCCCGTTAACTGGATTAGATTGGTTATTCTTATTCACCCGCAGCCACAGGGGTTGTTGCGCATGCCGGTGGAGATCTTGCATCTAAACGCCACAGCTCCCTCAGTCTAATTTATCGACCCTCTCTACTCTATCTCAGCCTTCCATAGCCAAATTCCTACATAGCACGGCGCGTTCCCTCCAAATTACATCACCCCCCGAGGCTCCTCACGACCATCCGGTCAAAAAAACCCCCCCCGAAAAGCCACTACACACGACCCCGTCCTGTTCGCATCGCCGGCCTAACGATAACCGCTACGAGAACTCCATGAATGCCTTTATTCAACCCATACCTCCGTGCCTTTTTCCGCTCCACCCTCCCCGCCCAATGCACTCCCGTTCAAGATCATGTATTACCTTCTTTCTCTTACCTTGTTTTCTAGAGCTGCTATTTGATTGCAATAGTTCCAAAGAACTAACTCTTGCGGGATTTTCCAATCGCGTGTTTGCTAGATACTATTGGTCCCCACCACCGACATCTTGACGAACACTCGTGATCGTGAGTCAGGATCGCTCTACTCAGATCTCGCTGGACTAGATGAATTCTTGGGAAGTCATGTTCTCCGGGTCCCCAGCGGCGGTTCCACATCCCCCATGGTAGGATCCAGAGAGAATAGGGGGAAAGCCAGACAATACACAACTTTCAACGGCAGAACGGTAGTTGTGAAGGACTCATGGATCTACTCTAACAAGGGTATGTCGGGCCTTTTGTAGACCTCCTGAGAGGTTCTATTGAATAAACGGCGGGGCGACAGGGGTGTGAGAAGCTTGGACACTGACCGGCTGATAGGTTTTCGGAGCCTAAATCAGGCTCAGTTATTGAATGATGCACTATTCTATCCTGACACTAGCGAGCCTCAACAGTGGCTAATCTACTATATATCGAAGCCACTTACCGGTTCTCTAGAACTTGTTCCCACAGTACCCGCTTTGCTGAAGAACCAAACAGACACCGAACCACCTGTCGCAAGAACCAGTGCACCAAGAAAGAAGGATATCAAATCATTCAATGAGCTACTAATGCTTTTTCCAATGATTGCCAGGCAAATGCAGCCAGGCCTGGAGAAGTTGTTTCAAGAATTTGAAACTTCCTTCCAGAAATTCAAGCCATTACCTCCTCCTCCGCCGTCCCCGCCGTCAGTGGCGTCAAGCCGCTCATCTAAAAATTCTGTTCATTCGTCTAGGAACGGGGATGTCTACAAGCAAGCTGCAGACGAAAGTGAGATACGGAGGTCGCTAGAGTCAGCCATCATGTCAGCAGTTGACCTCTTTCAACGAGTAGACCAATCGCAATTAAATTTGCTTGCGACATCAACAGATCTCACCGGCCCAGCTGTGGATCGATTAATCGAGCGATACATAGCTGAACAGTTACATGACTCAATACTTTTTCCTCGTGTATGCGCCACAAGGAGTATTGAAGATGGTGAATTGGAACAAAAAATTCTGGATATGGAGAGTGTGGATCTAATCCAAGTCGGCATCCCGCTTCTGGATCACCAAGCAAATAAAAGTCTTGTTGAAAGACTCAACCGGGGAATCAAGTCCTTCGAAAATATAGGGAATTCCAAATCTCCTCAAGCTATGGTCCAGCATTTACTAGAAACGGCGCAAACTCTAACCCGGATGGAAGCCAGCGATACCCAAAACCAAGAAGAAATCACATCTTCAAGTAACCCGGAAAAGTCAACTGCTGTAGCAATGAACGCAGATATGCTCGTTTCCCTGCTCCTTATTGTGGTCATTAGGGCAAAGGTACCAAATCTACATGCGTGTTTGAGCTACATGAGAAATTTTATGTTTTCCCAAGACGTGGAGCAGGGAGAAATCGGATATGTTTTGAGCACCCTCGAAGCAGTGCTATTTCACATAGCACAGGACCATGCTTTAAGTGCGGCCAGTAGGTCTAACGAAAACCTGTGGAGAAGCGTCCGCCAAGGCGATCTAGAGTCTGTCAAGAGGCTTTTGGAGCCGGGTATTCAGAGTGCGGAGGCCAGCAGAAGCGGCGCGGACAGCGCCGCCAACTCAGAAGAAGCGTCAAGCGAAAGCAACGACGAGGCAGGTGAACATGAAGAGGGGAGTGGCAATGAAAGAAGCAGAAGCCTAAGCCCTTATCCTACAGTAGAAGTACATAGACCGGCACCACTGCTCCCCAATCAACAGTTTGTGGAGAATTTCAGGAAGGAAACGAGTGATCGCGCAGCAGAAGTGATTGATGATGCAGCTTCAGACACCCCAGAACCTGTCGAGGACGAGGAACCACAAATACCCACTCTGAACAAAGATACCATAGACGATCTTGATGGAGAGTCACCTGATTCACCATTTGCCGGCCCGATAAAGGCGGAGTCGGAATCACTTTCAAACGGTGTCTCACCAGCGGCCGACACTCCAGAACCTTTGCACGATATGATAGCTAATAGTGAAGACGAGAGAATTCCACTACTCAATAAGATTAATCCGGATGCACCACCACTAGATACCCCTGATGAGGAAGCATACACAGATCCATTTGAGGCGGCAGCAACAGACAGTTCGTCTTCTAGGTCAATTGGAGTTTCTAGTGTACGATTGGCAGACCTCCGAGCTGATGGCCAGGAGGATGCAGACTCTCTCAACTATGTTCCATTACCGCCCGCATTGAAAGTTACACCAAATGTACGAAACGGGACAACCCGGTTTGAATTCGACGAAAGGACCAAGAACTCCGGAAAGGCGCGGGGCAGAAGCGTGGCTAGCCTGGCTACTACAGTTGACGATTCCCCAGTTTCCTCTCTAAGGCGGTTGTCAAGAACCCTGACCTCCCAAAGTCAGAATGCTGACTTGTTCTCTGCCGAGAAACTTTGCAAAACACGCAATGCTCAGGGGGAGTCAATACTAATGATGGCAGTCCAGGAGCGAAGCGCCCATGTCCTGAAATATTTGCTCAGCACCCCGCTGTTCGATACAGAATTTTTTGTTGAAGACACCAACAATGAAGGGACTACACTGCTATCTTCTGCCGTTCAAGCTGAGAGCACAGATATCTTGGCCTTGCTATTGCCACAGGTGCTTTCATTACCAGAGGAAACGCAAAGGAAATATTTTCAGAAGGCAGACAGCGCTGGCAGGACCATTGCACATTATTTATTCCAGTAGGTTCTGCTCCATTGCGAAAACCACTTAATACTGATTCTTGAAGTACTCCGGATCTGATAGGCCGGTTAGGTCGCTGGCTGCCCTGGAAACATCAAGACAAAAACGGTCAAACTCCTCTATTCGCACTTTGCAGATCTTATGATCACGCTCGGTATAAGGAAATGGTTCAGGTGGCCATCAAAAACGCCCAATACGCGCAACAGGATGGATGCAAATTACATCTTGACGAGCACGTAGATGCCAAAGGAAACACTCTGCTACATATTGCGGGTGATCCCGCCGTGTTGCGAACCCTTCTACGGTGCGACTCGGAAGTCAATGCGACGAATAGCAGGGGATTTACAGCCCTGATGGTAGCGAGCAAATATGGTAGAGTCGAGATGGTCAGAACCATGTTTGGAGATCCAAGAGTTGACCTCTTTGCGAAAGAGGTCAGGGGATTGACAGCAGTAGAGTTGGCCAAAGATGATGATGTGAGAAATCGGATTGATGGTAAGAGGTTTCACGAGTGAATCGTAAGGAGCACGTACCTAACCTCCTCTCTTTCAGACCTAGTCTTATTTCAAAATCCTCCGATGCCGGACGGGAGGGTCACGGCAGTTGTGAGATCCTTCTTTGTCGAAGATGCCACAATACGAGTTGTTGTCAAGAGCGGCGCTCCTTCAGGAGATTCGACATTTATGATTACCACGTGCCGACGATCTCTCGCGGACTTTCAGTTCTTGGCAGAGTGGCTTGCGTATGAGAACCCGGGATCGTGGTTGCCGACAATACCGGTTTTACGCAGCCCCTATCAAATACCTTCCAAGCCCTCGAGATCCGTTCTGCGTGACATCCAGCTCAGGTTAGACTGCTTTCTCAAGACACTGCTTGCCCATTCGACCTTTTCGACGCACGAGCTGTTATGGGAGTTCTTTCTGGTGCCTGAGATCCAGCAAGACTTGATGATCGAGCGAAGTAAGAAAAAGGCCGAGGCGAGAATGGAGAAGGTCCGTGAAGAGTACCAGCCGGTAGAGGATACAAGGGATGTAGAGGTTTTCGTCTCCCATGCAAAGGATTCTGTCCGGAGTATCAATTTTGCGTGCAGAAGTGTAACTCGAAGGGCTAACGCCGTACGAACTACGCTATTTGGTAGGGTTTCCCATCACGTTCAACAACTGATCAGCTAAACTAAACCAACCCAGACTTCTCCGACGCTTTCAAAATCTGCGGCAAGCACATTTCCAGTCTCAGCTTCCTCCACGACACCCCACATCTAGCCTCATTCCACAAATTCTCCGAAATCCTAATTCCCAACGAATCAAACCCCTACATCTCATTCCTCGAAGACTTCCGCAACCTCCAGTCCTCCCTGGACGGGGTGATGACAGCCTTAGACCGCCCCCGCCAAGTAATCAACCAAATGTCCCGTTTACAAAAGCAAGTAGACAAACACATCAACTCCCTCCGGCGCTCAGACCGCTGGCCACTAGGACTGCTAGACGACACGCGCGCAAAGATACACCAGGAGGCAGCGGACAACGTTGCCAAATCCAAGGAGCAGTATCTGACACTTTCTTCTGAACTGAGGTATACTCAGACCGTGGCTGCCGGAGAATTGTCGAGTTTTCACGAGTTGCACGCGAAGCAAGCGAGGAGAGCGGTTAGGGAGCTTGCCCAGAGACAGCTAATCACGGAAAGGGCAAAGTTGGAGGGGATGAGGAGAGCTATTAGGACAATTTCTGCAAGGGGGGGTGGGGCTGTGGCTAGTGCTCCTACCCCTCCACTGAGAGCTGCGCCGTCGTCTGGTGTGGATTGAGAGGGTTGATGGGGAGGGGGGGGGGCGATTATAGATTTGATTTGATTTTTTTCTTCCCATCTTGCCGGAATATAACGTTGAGACTTGCTCTCTTAATCTTGTTTGGTTGGCGGCATCAATGTGTACTTGTGACTGGGATTGGGAGTTTACAGTTTTTTTCACAGGTTTTTTAGTTTTCCTTGTATGATACGATATTATAAGGGCAGGCGTAGTTTGTGAAAAGGCTGAAAGCAAGAATAGAGAAGAAGAAAAACAAGGCAAAAAGAAAGAAAACTAGAACAGCAGCAAAGCGAAACCTTTCACACGCTATTTTATTTCTATTTTACTTTTAACAGGTTGGAGTATGATACAGTATGTTATCATCATAGCAACCTCTGTATATCTAACAACGCTCTGGCCCAGAACTTTTTGCCCCATGCGCCGAAAACGCAGCCATGATTGGCCACCAGTCCGCGGAATCAGGAATTACCACACCGCACCGTAGCGCCATAACGACGGGGATATCTCTATCCATCTTTATATAGCATTTCTTCCTTCCTTCCATCCTTCCCCCTTTTCCCATTCTCCCGTTTCCCGCCCCGAAACAGTACCCACCCCCATTCCTCCGCTCCCCCTTTACCCGCAGCAACATTTGTACTAGTACTAGTACTCGAGTATGGTACCGCTGGCGGTTTTATTATAGTAAAAGTACCGTGCTGTCTCGGTCCACACATCTGCACAGGCGCCTCAACCATCGATCCCCCTACTACGTACGGTGCTTGCCATGTAACTCTGAATACTCGTACAGCAGCGGGCAAGCACCGTTGCTCGAGTGTCGCACTCACACACAGCTTTCGCACGTAACACGACCGGGGCGGGGGGAGGGAGAGAGGCTGTGAGGGTAACATGAGTTCGCAGAACAAACTGAAAATACCGGCAGATTGAGGTTTATCTCGAAATCATGTGCGTGTACAAGTATCACAACCCCCTCGATCCCGACTCGACCGCGTGTAAGTCAGCTGAGAAGGCAATTTTGCAAAAAAAAGTCAAACACCTCCCATCTTCATCTTCATGTAATTTCTTTTTTTTTTTTTTTTTTTTCTTCTTCTCTTGTTTATATTTGTTGATTGTTTTCCTTTTCGTGCTTTGTTTTCCCTACCTCCCCCACCTCGCAGGGTGATAGACAGACAGGCAGACAGATCCGACCGGATCTGCATCTCGGGGCTCTTCTTTTTTTTTTTTTTTGTTCCCGGTGTTTCGGCACGCTACGGGTACTCGAGTACAGTACGTACCGTAGTCCCGGGCAAACGTCGTTCGTGAGACAATCCGACCGACCCCGAGCGGAAAACTCAGGAAACACTCCTTTTTTTATTTTGCTCGGAAGTTTCTATTTTTATTTTTATTCGTACCGTGCCAAGATGCGTGTGCATGCGGAGGTCCGGCAAGAATTCATGTTTCCCCGGGTGGAATGTTTTAACTACTTGTAGACTAAGTGGGTTCGTTCGTGGAAATGGGGGAGAAAAAAAAATCTTTTCCACACGCGGATGGCGATTGGATTTTTTTTTTTTTTTTACTGGTTGTGTGTGAATCGTGAGCCGGGCGGAGGGACAGACGGGCCGGACCGTATGTGTAATCTCCTGTCACTGTGGGAAACTTGCACTGTGGATGGCTGTTCTGCTTATGCGCGATAGCGGGGAAATCATGGCGATTGGTGTGTTCGACTGCTGTCATCTGAGTTAGTGTATATTGGTATCTGTAAAAACGTCAAGTGTGCGTCGGGGGGTTCGTTTTGTAGTGGGGTTTATCTACGTCCTTGCCGTTCGGGGCTGCGGTGATGATTCGTCTTTGGGAGACATGGCGCCATTTTAATTCGGGTTATTGTGCTTTCGAAATTCCTCATGTTTATTGTGAACACTTCTACGATAACGTGAGTGAGATATATGTCTTGTGCTAGCTAAAGTCTTGAGTTTATGCTACTTATACAAATCGATGTACTGCACAGTACGGTGCAGTGCCATATGATTCAAGTAGTGAGGGAAAGGGGAGAGAAACCGAGGAAGTTGCCCAATGTCACTCGGGATTGCTTAACTTCCCTGCTGACGGGTGACGGGTATCCTGTCCCCGTCTTTATTCCGGCGGGCATCTTATCAGTCCCCCCCCCCGTCTCCTAAGTTGGCATAGTGAGTGCCGAACAGGGCCGTAGTGTAAAAAGGCTCTGGGGAGAAAAAAAAAGAGAAAGGAAAGAAAGGAAAAAAGTACCAACAGTTGAAAACAACATAAACAGTTAAAAGTTAAGTTTAGTGAGAAACGTGAGAATAGTGCGAGATAGCCCCCTTTCGCATGCAAGCCCAGAATAAGAGAAAATAGAGGAGAAAAGGAAAGGAAAAGAGTTGAAGCAAAAGGAATAAAAATGTGAAAAACTCCGGTTTTAATGTTTTATTTATGATATCCCCCTCCTTCCCCCGATTTGTCTCTTCAATAGATCAAGTCATAATCCAATCAGTAAGCCAAGATAGTGAACGAAGAGAATTAAAGGAAATAATCCAGCCCCCTCGCTTCCTATGTGTGTCCTGCAAATAAACAGAGCAAAGGCAATGTCCGAACCGCAAGTCATAGACCCATGATAAACCCCATGCACCCATCCGTCAAAAATCACATCGCAAACTACATCGCCCCGCCAATAACCCCTCCCCCACCATGCCCGTAAGGTCTGGCAACAGGCCATTGTGGGGGCGGCCCATACGGAGGAGCCGGTGATACTGGAGTAGTTGAAGGTGAGTAGGGCATGAAAGGAGGTGGTGGTGTAGGCCTAGGTGTGAACGGTGAAGCGGGCGGGGGGATGAATGCAGCTTCTCTCTCCCACTCTCCATTTCCCCTGACAAGGGCTCTTCCAGGAACGCTAACCCCCTGTCCTCCCCTCACTCCTAAACTGCTACTCCTGGGTGAGTATCCCCCCTCTGGCACCGTTACTGCGCTAACGTGTACTTGCAAACCGTCCTTTCGAACATCCAAGACCTCCGTCGTTGATGGGGAAGCGGCCGTGGCGGCGGATGGGGAAGCAGTACCGACGGACTCCCTCCCCCGCAGCCGGATTGATTCATATGGTGTCCTGTCCGGGGCCTCGTACGCGGCGAGGATTCGTCGGCCTTGCTTGCGCTTCCGGTGGCAGCAAATGCAAAGGAGGGTTATTATTAACAGAAACGAGAAGCCTCCCGCTGAGAGGGCAATTATAGTTGGGGTTGTGAAGAAGTTGGATATTGAGGTTTGTAGGTCTCGGCGGAGGAGCTCCAGGGGTATCTACAGTTCGTTAGCAAAGTCCGGAGCCCGAACCGTAGGGGAAGGGTGTAGTGCCGTTGGTATCCTTGTATCCGGCCCAATTCGCTCCGTCGGATGGGCGGTTGTTTGCCCTGTGAGGAGGAGGAGCAGGAAGAGATTTAGGATGAAAGGTAGAGATGAATGCAACGATGTTATCATTTTAAACAATCCGTGTGTTTGTATGTTTCTCTGCTGTAGAAGCTGTAAAGTACTGGTATTCAAATACCTAGTACGACGATAGTGTGCGCAGCGTAGTGTAGCAGCCAAAGAACGAACGGATGTTGGATAAAATGAGCGAATCCAACAATCCAATTCAGCAAGTACCAAACTCCCCGAAAAATGAATGAACGACGAGAATGCAATAATCGTCAAAAGGTCCTACCGCAATTCACCGTTGAAAAACAAAAAAGTGGAAGAAGGGAACCCACGCGGGGGATGACCACTCCTCTAAGTATTTAAACCGACTGAACTTGTCCCCTTCCCAAGACACCGAATCGGAGCGGGAAGAGTCAAAGCCACGGGCCTAAACAATTTTCAAGCCCTCCCCCCAATCACAGGCATCTCCGGTTCCAAAAGTCCAGTACTTGTACCGGGTTTGTTTAAGTGTGAAAATTATGACTCTCCTCCTCCTTCTTGGTGTTCACTGCACCCCTCCTCCCGGCCACAGTGCAATACTTGTACTCCCTACCTTCTGTGCTTTTCCCAATCAGGATTAGTTGTTATTATTGAGCATTTTTCTTCTATTTTTTCTTTTCTCCTTTTTTCCCTTTTTTTTTTTTTTTTGCTCCAGCGGAGAGATGATCCCTGCTCAAGGAGAAGAGAAGCAGAAGGTTGGAATCTTACGGTAGATGGAAGGCACTTTTGGTTTTTCCCTTCTTCTCTTCATTCGCTTCTACGAGTACTGTAGTTTACCGGTTTGGTGCGGCACATCAAGGTTCTTACTTACTGCTTTTGGGCTCGCCTTACTCCTCGAGTATGGTTTCCGCAAGCTTGTGTTGATGGTTAGTGCTTGAAGCCTCGGGGTTCCCAGGAGTTGGTTTTTGCCAAGTATGGATTGGGGGTGTTCCTATTTGTTTGTGTTTCGCCTAGGTCGAAGCGAGCACCAGTAACAATAGGACAACGGATCTCGAGGGGGACGAGAGGAGGAGTGGGTTGGAGAAGAGCGAGAAAAGAGAGAGGGTGATCCCTGGTTGTTGCTTTCATGCTTGATGGAATAGTACTGTATAATACCAGCACTGTACGACGTGCCTATACTCGAGCACTTCGTATTCTGGGGGGTTTGCAAGTGTGGGTCAGGGGAAGCTGCAGGCGTGATACAACAAATACAATGCAATTCAGCGGAAGATATCATAACGTGCATCAAGAATGCCATCCAATGCGTTTCGTTTGGTTCCACAGCAGTGCTACTGCACTCGAATACTGTCCTACCGATATAGTTCTATTTATTAATATGCTTATTTATTTTCTTTTATTTACCGCAAAGTCCTCATCAAGCAATCTCGTTGATAAAATAGAACAAAATTACCATCTCCGGTGCCGCGAACCCGCCCGCCCGCCACCAGCAGGCCTACAGCAAAGGAGATCCAACGAACGCCACAAGTCAAAAATAACCCCCTCCACCACGCCAGAAGAGACCGATTGGCACTCACGGAAGCCGCTCTCTGGTTCGTCAAAATGACAAAAGTCCTCGTAGTGATGGGTATTGTTAGGTCCGTGTGAACTTGCGTGCCATTTGTGGGCCCCCTTTGCCAACCCCGTAAAAGGGAAAACATTGAGCGTGTCCGAGCCGTCGGACGACATCCCCCCACCTCAAATAAGCTAACTACGATTTTGTGGCCCCCATCTGGCCCATAAGGAGATTTGAAGTGGGCGGTAACTGACTACTCGAGTAACCGTGACACCCACCGGGGATCGGAGCGGATGAATGGGTGTGAGGGATCCGGTGGTGTGATCTTGACTCTTTATCCCCCCCCTCAAGCGAGAGGACTAGTCTAGGGGGGGTGGGGGTAGTCATGGTAGGTCACTCGCGGGGGCTATTGCCTGCGTTGTCTGGGAATGTCTGTGCTGATGATGAAATTCGTTCGTTCTTTGTCGTGACGAAACGAGAGATTCGCAGTTGCGTATTAGAGTTGTTTTGGCCCCTGTGGTTTGTGCAACTTTTTTCTCCTGTCGAAAACCCCCAGTGCAAAAGTTATCAGCTCCGGAGCCCTTATCCTACCCGCTAGTATAGGAAGGTTCTCGGATGGATAATAGAAGTTATTGACACCTTTGATTCAGGCTCTGCCGTAATTGGGCTGTCGGCGAAATACTACTGAATTGCCTTGCTAAGGGGGGTCTTAAAAACTACTTCCCTTTCGGTAAATCGGAAATTTTCGACTGAATACAGTAGTTGAACGACGGGGCCAACTATCGTAGCTCTACTTGGATCATAGGTGAAAGCGGACGGCAGTTTTGCAGGTATGATAAAAGTACTAGTACATGCAACATTTTCACTCGGTGAAGCGTGATGGCAGGGTGTGTGCGAGAAAGTGCCCTTTTTTAACTTTACTTTGCTGACTCCTGGCAGGGTCGTATCGTATCGTCTCGCTTTGCCCTGTAGTTAGCTATCATACAAAAGAACCTATTGGGTGTTTCTGAGACACTGTAGCTTGTATGAGTAGGCGAATTCGCTGACTAACCTACCCAGCAATCCACTAGCGCCTGCCAGAAAAAATAGAAGTGAAGGAATCTGCTCATAACGTTACACAATAATTTCGCTTGCTTTTTTTTTCTATTTTTTCTTCTTCTTCTCATTATTCCTCCCTGCCTATCAGGTCGACAAGAGAATGCCTGCGAGCAGTCATGACTGGAGTGGGTAGTAGCAAGCGGTATGTCGCTGGAGCACAGCTCGTGTTTCCTTAGGGTGAGGCAGCCGTCAGTACAGTACTTGACAAAGTGAGCCAAGAGCCACTTGGCCGTTGTCGACCACCCGCCGCCACAAGCCGGGCACCAGCCACGCGTTGCTTGCCTGAGCGCCACACCCCGAATCCTCCTCACTTTTTCCCCCTTCAAACCACGACAACAACCCCCACACCTCGTGCACGATAACCTTCGCTCGGAATATGGCAACCATACCCATTGCGGGAGCGCCAAATGGGGCGGAATCGACTGCACGCGTAGCGGAGTTAGAGGAAGTGGAGGCACTCCCAATTGGTGGCATAGAGGAAGAATTCTACGAGGACGACGACGATGATGGGGAGGGGGATAACGAGGACCAGGAGTCGGGAGCCGACGATGGGACGGACTGGGACGTTAGCTCTGTTTTTGATGAATGGCTTGCACAATCCACCGAGCCAGTAGTGTTTGCACCTGGTGAGTTTACTGTACGCTTATTTGGATGTTGTGTTGCGGGTTGGATTCACTGACAGGTCGTCGCCTGGTGGGGTTGTTTTCACAACAGAGGAAGATGCGGTGACAACGGAGGAGGGGCGCAATCTCCGCGATTTACTCAGAAGGGTTGGAGAGGCTAGGTTTATCGAGGAGACACTTCACACGGGGTCTTTCACTGCCAAAAGATTGCTGACCGCCTTTGGTGTCCGTCCGGTTTGTTCTCCGTCTACCTTGCCCAGCCGCCTCCTGGAGGAAAGTAATTGACCTTTTGACTCCGATGTTTCACGCAGCCTTTCTTTCTCGAGGGTTCCCCGGACATGGCATACCTTCCTCTTCTCGGCATGGTGATAACTAGAGACCTTAGGGCGAGGCAGAAATTGACACAGCACAACACGTTGGACGACGTCGTCAAACTCTTGAAGGAGTCAAGCAATATTATCGTGCTTACAGGTGCTGGGGTAAGGCGTCCCAAGGGAGCCCCCCCCCCCCAACGGAGAATGCCGTTGTGGCTGACAACGTGAAAGATTTCCACAAGTTTGGGAATCCCAGACTTTAGATCCAAAGGAAGCGGTCTCTATTCCCGCCTGGAGGGATTAGGACTTTCGGACCCTCAGGAGGTTTTCGACCTAGATGTTTTCCGTGAAGATCCCACGTTTGTTCCCTTCCCTCCCCTATCTCCCTCCCTTACCTCCCAACTAAAATTAAAACTAACAATGGTCCAAAAAAAAAAGTATCTTTTATAGCATCGCAGGGCGTATACTCCCAACCATAGACCGAATATCCCCAACGCATGCATTCATCGAACTCCTCCAGCGTAAAAATAAGCTCCTCACGCAATACACACAAAACATCGATAACCTAGAAATCAAGGCGGGTATCGATCCAGAGAAGCTCATCCAATGCCACGGATCCTTCGCCTCCGCCAGTTGTGTGCAATGCGGTCACAAAGTCCCCGGTGAGACAATATTCCCGGATATGATCAAGGGGATAGTACCCAAGTGCGAAGCCTGCTTGAAACACAATGCCAACAACCACAACAACAGCAAAGTTGGCAGAAAGCGCAAGAGAGGAAAGAACAATAGTGAGAGGACATCAGTAGACTACAGACGTAAGAGGTACGACGAAAGCAGCGATGACGAGGGCGGGGACGACATTCCACAAGCTGGTGTTATGAAGGTATATATACATCTCCCTCCCTCCTTCCTCCTCCACCTTCTCATCAACCACTGAGGAAACTAATTCCCAACGAACAGCCAGACATAGTCTTCTTCGGCGAACAACTCCCGGCAACCTTCAACAAACGCCTAGTAGACCACGACCGGGCGCGCTGCGACCTCTTCATCTGCATCGGCACAAGCTTAAAAGTAGCACCCGTATCCGAAATAATAGGAATCCTACCACCGCATGTTCCTCAGATTTACATTTCGAAAACGGCAAGTTCTACCCCGCTTCCCCGTCCCTTTTTCCCCCTCGCCGGGAACTTACATATGTGCTAGCCTGTCACGCACGTAAACTTTGACATAGAGCTTATCGGCTCCTGCGACGATGTGGTTGCCGAACTCAGTCGGAGGGCTGAGTGGGACTTGAAGCACGATATGATTCCCGAGGATCAGGAGAAGATTGCTAGGATTCGGTTGGAGGAGGGGAGTGTTTCTAGGTGGATTTTTGGGGAAGGTGGGAAGGGTGAGGAGGGTGAGGAGGGTGAGGGGGAGTAGATTGTCTCATGGCCTATGGATGGCTTAGCTAAACTTGCTTTTATACCCTACTAACCTTTGGTCTCGTCCTATTTAAGAGGCGTTTGGTATTCGGACTTGTTCTTCTTTTCCAATTGCTTCTCTTTGACAGTACATTACCGATATATCATTTGGGTTGGCTTTCTTGCTTACTTGCTCACCTGCCTCAAAATTCTTATACTCTACATCCTCTCTTACTCCTCAGCAGCCAAAAGCGAGCATTACGTGGCATACGACTACCATCTCGATTCTGGCATTACAGCGCATAGGTGAATCGAATACACTTCCCTCCCCCCCCTTTCCCTTATTTACCCGCCGT